AGGGGTCCCGGGGGGCCCCACCACACCCACCCCTACTCCACCGCCCTCCCAGGCACTTTCTTCCAGATAGAGCCAGTCTTTTCGCACTGACACCAGCCAGCCCACAAGCTTTTCAGCTCCTGTTGCCTCATCTTTTGTTTGAGACGTTTTATCTGCATGGAGATCAATGGGCTCTTTTGCCTGTCAAATCCAAAGGCGATTAAGCATCTAATTAAATAAGAGCTTCCCCTGGAAGCAATTTGGAACCTGAGCCTAATCCAATAGAGGCATTAAACACTTGATCATTTTTCATCTTAAAGCCTCCTTGCAAGACCCAAACATCCTCTGGTGTTTTCCAGGCAGTCAGTGCATTTCTGGTCGAGCTCTGCTTGACAAATGCTCCTTCGTTTACGTGCCATTTCCCAGTCCTGTTCCGCCAGTTAAGACCGGGAGAGCGACAAACTCCTTTTGCTGCTTTAGGAACGGGCAGGGCAGCTGTGCCAGCCCGGGCTGAGCACCCGCTCCCTAGAAGGAGCCCGGGAAGTTTTTGTAAAGCATTAGGTCAGACTCGATCCCCGTTTAGTCTGACCTCGGCGACCAGAGGCTGTAAAATTTCACACCCCATAACTCACGCCGCGCCCCTGTAACGTGTCTGTGACTGCAGCAATCCTCTTTCAAAGGTCTCCAGCCCAGATCTGGAGACAGATATCCAGAGTCCAACAGTCCGCCTGGCACCTGTCCCACTGTTTCAAAACATTTTCTCCAACGCGGAGGTGAGCTCTCCTTCCAACACATCTGGCTTCAGGATCCAGACATTGGGGAAATCTGGCATGTTTTTCTCCACTCAATTAAAAGATGCCTTTTATAATCTGGTATTTTCTTCCCCTGAAGGGACTTCTATACCATAACAGAATTGAGTCAAGTGCTTACCGTCACAGCCAGCCTGGAGATCACTTCTCCATAAATGTCATATCTGTCAAGGTGCTGCCAAAGCAGCAGCAACCCCAGGCCTGGTAGTTTCAGCTGCCAACTCCCACCAGAGAGGAGCAAAATACTCACATCGTTCCTCTTCTGCTTCCTGAGTTAGGACTTTGAAATCCAGGAACCAAGTCTCTAGCCAAGCAATGACGAATGAGACGATAGGGAGTAAATAGCCAAAAGCCCCCTTGGCCAGAAGCTGCGTGGAAGAAAGCAGAAGCCACAGGGAGTTTACACAAACGGGAAAAGAGCAGCATCAAACAAGCACAAAGCAATCCCCTGCGAGCCCACGGAAACCAACCTCGGAGAGGATGACCTTCACAATCAGGAAGGCACTGGATACCAGTGTAGTGACCTGCAAAATAAATTTACGTGTCTCACATCCAGGCCAAACTCCAGGCAGAGAGAGAAAACTAAAAAACAGGAAAGCAAAAATTGCCTTCTTACCGCTATGACCCACCAGTGGCGCAGCCTCACGATCGCGTAGGCCAGCAGCAGCACAAAAAACCGAAAGAAAGCCAAGACCTTTAAAAACAAGAAGCCACGGACACCAGTCACCGCCCCTGTCCCTCTGCCAGGAGCTGGGAGGACACGGGCCAGCTCCCAAGGACCTCGTCACCTAAACAGATGGGGTCAAGGCTGCGGGGAGACCCCAACCCCACCGGCACGCAGACCCTCTTCGCCTGCGCCACCCCCAGCTCCAAAGCTGTTTCCTCACCTGCAGCAGTCTGGGATACTCACAAATATATCAAAGAAAGAGCTCTTAAATTTGTAGTCGATGATTTCATTCTTCAAGTTCTTCTGAATGCCATCCTTGGTCTGAAAGGGGAGACAGGAAACCAGAACACCATTGAGTGTGCTGATAAGGAACTAATGGTAGGAAGAACCCGGCCGAGCGGTGACCGAGGTTGTCGCTGGGACAGGGCATGCACCAGGCACACAAATCATAGAATCATGGAATGGTTTGGGTCGGAAGGGACCATAAAGATCATCTAGTTCCACCCCCCCTGCCATGGCCAGGGACACCCTCCACTACACCAGGTTGCCCAAAGCCTCATCCAA